CTTCCTGACTGAAGCCCAAGACGGCGTCAACGCCATTCCTGCGGTCCCGGGGGTGACTTGGTCGCGGTGGGGCAAGTGCAGGATCCGTCAGCCTCGGATCGGCCCGCGCAGCGAATCGAGCCGCAGCGGCGCGGAACTTCTGAACCTGCGCGGATCGGCCGCCGCGCGAGCATAAGGCCGCAACGCTTCGTCGGAATACAGCATGAGACGCACAAATACACACGTAGCCCTTTCGTGCCCCTGCTGGGCCCCAAGGGGGCCCTTTAGAGCACAAGCGTTGCACCTTTCTTCACCCCGCCGCGGAGAAGGAGGAGGAGGGGGAGGAGGAGGAGGAGGAGGAGGAGGAGGAGGAGGAGGAGGAGGAGCAGGAGGAGGAGGAGGAGCAGGAGCGTGTTATGTGCCTCTGTAGGAGCCGCACGTCCGCCCGGAACAAGCAGCACAGCATAATTGTAGCAGATCGTTTCTCACGCTCGGCGCGGCCAGAAGACGCCCTCCTCGGAGCTCAGCTTGGCTTGGCTTGGCTTCTGCGGAAGCGCCATGGCCAACGCAAGCATTCGTTCAGAAGCCTGGGCCGACATCGCAAGACGCGTCGTACTTGCATCAGACCTCTGTTGTTCACACTGGGGAGAGCGAACGTGCTCAAGAAACTGGGCCAACTGTCTAGCAGCTTGGGTAAGAGACGCCGGCCCAGCTTCTCGGGGAAGAGGAGGAGGAGGAGGAGGGAGGCTTCTCAATCAGATGCTAGTCTATACTGAAACAGGTTCCGAGCGTGCATTTCGCCCCTACGTGGCCGACGCACACCTGAACCCGAGAGGTCTTTAGAACCCCCCACCCCTCGGGGGTAAGTAATGACTTCTGTCGGCGGCTTATTGAAGGGCTGGGGCCCCACCAAGATGGGTTAACATTTGCTCTCTTTTTTTCCGCGGCACCCGCCGCGCAACGACGACGAGGAGGAGGAGAAGGAGGCGGAGGAGGAGGCGGAGGAGGAGGAGAAGCAGGGGGGAGGCGGAGGAGGAGGAGGAGGAGGAGGAGGAAGAAGTTTTAGGACCAGGCCGATCCACCACCGACATGAAAGGGGGGTGCAAACCTAAAGACCACTAGCGGTTATGTTTGGGTGGTTTTTGAGTCGGGCTCGAATCGGGCCAGGCTGGCCGAAACCGATATCAATGCGGATCGATCGGGTCGAAACGAACCCAGCCGTGCTGGCAACCTCGCGCCCCCCGTCCCCGCTCTCCGTGACCGCTTAGGAAAGGAAGATCGGATATGCGCCCCAAGGGGGCGAAACGCAATGAGTCTTACGACCCCCCAAAAAACAAAAATACGGTGTAGCCAATTAGTTGTTCGGCAGCCTTATTCTGAAGGACTGGGTCCCGCCAATAGGGGGTAACAATGTGTGTTCCCGCGGCACCCGCCGCGCAACAACGACGACGAGAAGCAACGAGGAGGCGGAGGAGAAGGATGAGGGATGAGCAGGAGGAGCAGGAGGAGGAGGCTTCAGGACCAGCCCTATTCGTCGCCCAGAGAAGAAGGGGGGCTAAGACTAAAGGCCTTTAGAGGCTCTACTCGGACGCACTCCTTCTCGATGCTGGGCGCCCCCGTGTACATCCGCGCGCGTTGTGCCTCAAACTACTGGGCCAGTCGCAGGCTTCCTCAGGTCGAGGACTGGGGGTCGCCTCGCCTCTGCGAGGGGCCTGCCGGGGTCTCCAGAGGTGCCCGAAACCTGAGATCACGTACTCTAGAGCTTTGTGGGCCGCGGAAACGGCAGGGCCGTTTTTCCACCGTTTCCAAAAACATGTCCCTTGAAAATGGAAACGGCACAAAAAAACGGCGACCAAAAACGGGGAAAAGCGGCTCCAGGATTGGAACCGGAGCCGGAACCGGTCAGAAAACGGCGACGGAACCGGTAAAAAAACGGCGTCGGAACCGGTAAGAAAACGGCAAAACGGAACCGGTAAAAAAACTGCCCTGTCGTTTCCAGGGCCCACTAAGCTCCAGAGCTCTCAGGCCCTTCGAGGCTTCCCTGGGGCTGGACTCTCGCCCCGAGGCGTTTCCCGATGGCCCTGGAGCCTCCAGACGTCCCCAGGAGATCGGCCACTGCAGCAACAAACAGATCCGCCCCGAGTCTTCAAGACGCTTGCGGTGTAAGGTCAACGCCGCCTCGAGTCGCGAGCGGGCCCAGGGATCCCTCAATCACCCACGCTGGAAAAGCGTCCAAAGGCCTGGTCTGTTCGCATCTGTGGTCGTGAGCTGAGATCTCCTCAGACGCCAGGGGACCGTAGTGAACAGTGCTGCAGTGCAACGCCCTGTCGCAAACACTTCGGTGGCTCAAAGATGGGGTCCAGAGGGATGGGGTCCACAGAGTAGAAAGGGATCCAAACATATATTTAAACTGTTTGAGGTACCTCGTCCTTAGGACCCTATCCCTCATAACCCCATATTCGAACCACCGAACACTGCGGATCACGAGAAGGAAGCCGGCGGTCCCGGTGAATCGTTCCGTCCCCTTCGTGGCATATCGAGAGGGTGGCATACCACTGCGAGTAATCACAACCCTTGAGCCTGATTAGCGAGCGCTGGCAGACGAAGTGCAATCTCCTCTGCCCTTCCCCACCTCACCCTACACAGACAGAGAACGTACGAATCGAGGGTGGAGAGACGATCGGAAGGACAGCGACGGTGTGGACAAGCGTGGGCGTCTTGCACGTACTGCGTGGCCCGGGGACCCCGACTCGTGACCTTCTGACACGGGCAAAGCACGGTGACGAAGAAGGGATACGAAAAAACTAGAATGGGCAAGGAAAACATGAGGCCTCATCTGAATCGGAGCCCCGCCAGTGGGCCCAGTGCACCCCTGGACCTCATGTCTGGGTCGCATGGGAACGTACTGGAGGTCGTGGGGCGGTGGCAAGGGAGAAGAAAGGGGCAAAGCATTCACAAGCATCGTGATGGTGCGATGGCAGCAACAGACGTGGCCACGGCGCCATGGCGCCCCATGATCTACAGGGTGTTGTAAGAGGTGCCGCACATGGTAGATCCTACTAGCCATGAGAGAAAGTATACGTGACACGGCCGATCGACAGACAGCAAGCCTGAAGGTAGGGAGCAAAATATCAGACGTACCTCGAATGCCCCTGCTCTGCGCCCGGTGCGAAAAGCGATGGGCTTGCAACCTTGTGCTCGAGACCCTGGCTCCTAAAACCTGGGGCCCGATGGCGTTCCAGCTGAGGCCCCATCGCAGCAACGCTCACGTGCCATCGCGATGCGCTCACTCTCGAAGAGCAGGGCACTTCTCCCGCACATCTGCGGCGACTGTCCCTGGGACCTACACCGCAGGCCTCGCCGCCTCGGCGTTGAGGCGTGGCGGCTGCTGAAAACTCCCTGCGCCCCCTCACCAGATGCACTCAGCGCCCACCGTTTTGCACCACGGCGTGAAGACAGAGAAGGCGGAGGAGGCGGAGGACCAGGAGGAATGGCTGGCACCTGACGCTGCGGGCGCAGAGCCCCGCTTCTGATCAAAGAGGTGGAAGACGCCACGGGCACGGCGCTGTTGAACCCCATCCTAAAGGGGCCCAGAGACACACACAGACACACACACGCAGACACACATACACCCACACACAGAGACACAAAACCACAGACCTTCAAGTATCCCCCAGATGCCCCCGTATGTGTCCTGGACCTTCCTCTTCTCCTCCACCCTAGACTCCCGCACAGCCCCATGGAAAGCAGCTCCCTCGTTGTGCGCGCGCCTCTCGCTTCCCCTCCGGAGCCCTGGACGCTGCCCGCGCAGCCCTTCCCTGCAGCTGCCGCACGGCCACGAGGCGCGGGCAAGACCCGCGCCTCCTGCGGCTCGGGCGAGCGCGGGCTCTGCCTGCGCCCGCCCGCCCAGCGCGGCCAGGCCCCGAGGCGCTGGCCTGCCGCGCGCCCTGGGCTGCTCGGCCTGCCGCGTGCGTGCCCGCCGGAGGCCCGGAACCCGAGGGGCAGGGCGGCGGTGCTCCGCGCGGGGGCCTGGCGGGGCCCGGTCCCGGGCTTCTGTCGGGCCGGTCCCCCTGCAGGGGGATCTTCGAGGAAAAATCCCCCTGTAGGGGGACACGCCCGACACATAATTCCAGGGTCACGCGCGCGACGAGCGGGTCGGCGGCGAGCAGAGGGGGGGCGGGGGGAAGCGGAAGCGGAAGCGGGGGCCTCCCCGGAAGGCGGCGGGGCTTCTCGGAAGCCCTCGCGCCGAGAGCCTCCGAAAGCACCAACGGTTTCCCCGAAGCGCGAGTGGTGCTGAGAAGCCCCGCCACCCTCTGGGAAGGACCTTTCCCCCCAGGCACGCCGCCGAGTGAAGGATATGGTGAGCGTTTTCTCATTCGGCGTTTCGACATTGAGGGGGTCTGGCTCCGGACCTCTGCATACTGCAACTGTTTGCATCAGTGCGTCCTGTGTGGGAGGACCTCCACCTGCTCGAAACAGGCGCCCAAAACAGCAAAGATCCACTCCATGGGGTGTGGGGGGGAGGGGGGCTACGAGAACCCATGCCAATCGGCAAAACCATGAATAAGAAAACGATCACGTGATGATCTGCGGAAGACTGGAAAGAAAGCAGGAAGAGCGAGACGTTCCGTGCATGTCGGAGCTCTGCCTCGTCGGATCGGAGTGAATCATGGGACGCACAACGACATACTAGTACTAGATGTCCTCCTTGGAGGCGCGCGTCCGAACCGAAAATATAGAATACCCATCTTGTAGTATATCGTTCCCCGAGCGGCGTGGCCAGAAAGCGCCCGCCACGACGCGCAGTATGTGCGTATAGTATGTGACATACTAGAAGATTTCTTGGTGCGCGCGTCGCCCTTGCGGGGGGGGCGACGCACACACACAGAGTAAGTATGATGGGATGACGCCGACATCAAGATGAAGATCGTGAGGACTTCACTAAATGGTTGGTGTTGGCTGGAGCACAGGTCGAGAAGGCTGGAAGAGGGGCACACGCTCAAGCCGCTGAACAATACTTTTTTCCAGCTCTGGCCATATGATCGAATGGGAAAGCCGTGCGCAAGCCTAGCACCCGGGAGATGCCAGTGAGGCTGTGAGATGCGCGCAGCTTGCTGCCAGGCCACCCTTAATGGTGGGCGACCCGACAGTCGACAGAGCCCGCGAAATGTTTATAGGCGGCGAGCGAGGGGGGAAATGAGGAGGCCTTCTCAGAAGGCTCGGAGGTTCCCCAGCCTTCCGAGAAGTGTGCTGCGCTTCCCCCGAAGACGGACAGGAACTTCTCAGAGGCGCGAGGGCTCCCGAGAAACCCCGCCGCCTTCCGAGCAGGCCCTCTCCCTCTCGCTCACCCCCCCCTCGCCCGCCGCCGCTGCCGGGGTCCATCGGACGCGAGGCGGCTGCCGCTCACCGCGGCCCCCCTTCCCTGCCCCGAGCGTCCCAGCGCTCCCGCCCCCCCGACTCCGCGACGGGCTGCACGAGGTCCAGCCCGGGAGCCGCGGGGCAGCAGCCGGACCGCGCCGAACCGGCCAGGCGCGGCCGACGGCGACGAAGCCGAACCGACCGAACCACGGACACCCCTGCTGCCCAGAGGAGGAAGCGCCGTGTCGGCGAGGTGCACGGAGCGCTGTCCCGACTTGGCCCCCGCGGGCCGCGCCTCGGCGCTCCTCCCTCCCCGACCTCGCCCTCCCTCCCCGAACATGTATGGCCGCACCCTCGTCCACCCCCGCCAGATTGCCCCCCTTCCTCGCCCCGCTCCTCCCCCTGTAAGCCGTCACCACCCCCTCCTCCCCATCCTCCTGTCAGCCCCCACTCGCCTTCATCCCCCTCCTTCTCCCGTCCAGTCCTTCCTCCTCTTCCTACTCCTCCTCCTCCTCCTCCTCCTCCTCCTCCTCCTCCTCCTCCTCCTCCTCCTCCTCCTTCTCTTCCTCCTCCTCGTCGTCCTCCTCCTCATCATCCACCATTCCTGTTCTTATGAATAACTACTCCCTGTCGCACCCCGGGGCGTTCTGGTAGGGCGGGCAAGGCGTTTCGCCTGAGACTTCCTCACCACTTACGATCGGGAAGCTTAGAATCTGCGAGCGGAAAGCGGGCCGCTTTCAAAAGGTGCCTCTGGCCTTAGCGCCGCGCGCATTCGTCTTTACCAATAGCAAGAAATTAACGGATGAAGGTCAATTTCTTTTCAACATGTGGCTCTCGCCTCAGCGCCACGCACAGTAAGTGAGGTTGTGTTGTCCTCTTTTCTCATGTGAAAAATAAGGAAGCTTCAACGTGTTGCATGGCTAATGTCTCAGAACAATTCGTTTGGTAAGATGTCGGAATGCCATGACGAAACAATTGCGTCCACTCGCAGTGTTCCAATCCCAGGCAGGATTGGTCCTATGGCACGATTCAGCATCGTCAAACGCAACAGGAACGGTGAAGTCCCAGGAATGGTGTTCTGGCACAGTTCAGAATAATAAAACGGTTGCTTCCCAACGGGGCACTTCCCTCAGTGAAAATGGAGCCTTGTAGGGGCTTATGGAGAAGGACTGTGGAGGGAGGGTCTAAAGCAATATCGTTCCTGAATCTTGGGTTTACGCTAATTCTCCTCCTCCTCCTCCTCCCCCTCCTCCTCCTACTCCTCCTCTTCCTCCTCCTCCGCCTCCTACTCCTCCTCTTCCTCCTCCTCCTCCTCCTCCTGCTCTGCTCCTCCTCCTCCTCATCCCCATCCCATCCTTCATTCTGGCCCGCTAGCACTGGCCGAATACAAAACCAATAGGGGCGTGGATGCCACAGATATTGAGGCTCCCACAGGGACCTGGCCATCGATTGGCTTCAGCATCTGAATTCTTCGTGGGGCATCGATTGGCGTCATCGGGAAACCTGTAGACAATGCAATGCCGCCACGTCCTCATCTTCCCGCTCCTCCCCCGACTCCATGCACAGGACCCCCTGCTGGACCAGGGGAACCGAATACTCCTCTCTCCACTTCTCCCAACTCGCCTCGTCTTGACCCCGGGTCTTTCGATGTGCCGCGTCAGGCCGAGTGCGCGCCAGAGGATGCCCGACGGCCTGACTGCCCCAGGCAGCGTCGGACCCCCAGCTTCGCCAACCTGGTCCCGCTTGCCGCAACGACGCTGCCTGGACCGACGCCGCCCACAGCAACAGGCACAACAACAAAGCCGACCGAGCCGACAGCGAAACCGACATCGAAACCGACGCCGAAATGCCGCAGGCAGCCTAAGAAGGGCGCGGCGAAGCAGCAAAACAACATGACACCAATGGCGACCCCCATCGTCTGCACTTCGTCATAGATCGGGCATCCCGCGCCGTTCGGGACGCTCTGGGCGAGGTGTGGCGGCTGCAGCGCAGCCCGAGGCATGGAAACAAGCAGGAGCCAACCACGACGTCCGAGAACCTCGCGCTTGCCACCCCAGGAGGGGATGAACTTTTTATCCTGGGTAAGATTTTGACGACAACCACGTAGGGACCGGGCAGCATCGGCAGGGAGGCCAGATCGAATCGGATCGGCCGCGCCAGGACGCACAGCAGAGAAAGAGAGAGAGAGAGAGCGGCACGGAGCGAGGCGAGTGCACAGCAGCGCCAGGCAGACATCGGGCCGGATCGGACCCGTCGGAACTGGGGAGACCAAAAGGTAGCGATGCTGCTGCTCCCCGGACCTCTCCCGGGGCGCGCTCTGACCAGAATCTCGAGGCGAATCCAGCGGTGGCGACGAGGGCCTCCCAGGAGGCCCGAAAATGGGAAAGCGGGCGCAGGGCAAAGGTATGGGTACACCCTGCGAAATGCTCAAGAAATCATGGGTTAAGAAATTCATAGTCTCAGAACTTGAATAAGACCCAGAACTTCTATCAAAATCTTGGGATTCACATTGAAAAGTTAAGAAGAATCGAGACTCTGGACGAAAACTTAGGTCTTCTTAAGCATCGCCTAAAGTGTATGGGCAC